AATAAATCTGGATGAATTTTGTAAATCCAGATTAATCTTTCAAATCCATATTCCATTAACTTATTTATAAAAAATATAAAAAATAAGTTTGTATATCCACGAACAAGCTTAATTTTTTAAAAATATATAAAAAAATATTTATGTGATATTAGTATTTAAAAAAATAAAAAAATAAAATTTAAGTTATTGAAATAGACGTCCTGAGTTCAAAACAGCAATCACGAAAGCAAACAAAAAAAATATCAAAAAAATAAATATCTAGTACTTGTATTTAATTAATTGAATTAATTTAATTCAAAAATAAAAATTATTTTTAAAATCTAAATTTAACAAAGAAAACAAAATCTGGTAGGAAAAATTATTTTTGTTTCAAAATGAATGGAAAATCTGATAAGAAGTTGAAGAAACAAAAGCAAGAAGATGGTTGGGGATGAAACAAAACAAATACCTCAAAAAAGAAAACAAAAACAGAATAAATCTAGACAAACATTCTAAATTTAAATTAATCTTTCAAACCCACATTTCATTAAATTCCAAACACAATCTCAACAGAAAAGCTCAAAATCCAACTAATTTAATTTTAAAAGATTAAATTAATTAATTTAATTTAATTATAAAATGACATCCCTTTTAAAAAAGCAAGATCTAACAAGGATAAAAAAAAAACTCAAGATAATACTAGACCAATTTAATATTAAAGGATGAAATAAATAAATTTAATTTAATTTAAAAATAAAATTTCAAGAAATTAATTTTAAACAAAATTTAAAAACAAACCAATCCCCTAAAAAGACAAAACTATTCATCTAAGCAAGCCTTACCGGTTTTGTTTAGAAAGACAAAAACATCAAAATATTGTTTCAATTCATAATATTTTAAATTTTTATCCATAATAAATAGTTGATCCCTTTAAGATTTGTTAATTTAAAATTTTCAATGTATATGAATTTATAACAAATGGATATATCAACCTGGTATGTAGTTAAAGATATCCAAAGGATTTGATTGAAAAGAAACTATAACTTAAAAATAAAATATAAAGCTAAAATCCCATTAATGATTAATTCTTTTTTTATTACAAGAGAAATGTTCATAAACAAATTATATTGCTCGAGAAGAAATGAGAGACATATGTCATCAATTCATAGGTTTGTTTGTCATGCACCAATCCGCAATTTTTTTATTATATATTACCAATAACATAAGCTTAAGCTTTCAGGATATGTTGGGATAAAATCAAGGTGATTCTAATTAATTAGTTACATATTTACCATAACTGGACTATATAAATATCTTTTTAAAGATATGTATAAATTGATGGGATAATACTATAAATCTAAAAGAAGGTTTGGATTGTATTGTATGATACTTCTATTAGAAAGGCTTATAATTTTTTATTTAATTATTAGATTACATTAAAATTTTATCAAAAAATTCATATGCCCAATTCTGTATATAAAGGTTTAACCGGCTATAAATTGTTATGGTCTAGAAGACTTTCAAATTAGATCTAGAATATGTTATTCAGGCTAGTTTTATTATTTTTCCTTTTTATTTTAGATTTTCTAGTTTGATTAAAACTTTTATTGCTTCTTACCTTTCTCGCTAGGACTTTTAATTAATTTTTTATTTTCTTAGGTTAGTTCTTTGGTTTATTTTGGGAGTTGTAAATCTCTTGAAAATAAAATATTTAGTAATAAAATTTTAAATTAAAATTCTTATGTAAAGAACCTTTATGGTATGATTTTATTTTATTTTTTGTGGAAGACACAATGAAAAAATTCTTCAAAAAACTTTATGGAAAAATTGAAAGCCATAATTATGTTCTTTTAGGGAGACATAAGAGAAAGAGAAGACTTGAAGGTTCTTTATGGCTTTGATTTAGGATTAGAATAGGAATAAATGAAAGAAAGAGAAAATTTAGGGGACTGTATATGAGAATGCAGGCTTGATTTAGGTTAGAAGAAAAATTAATATTTATATCTTTTTTAAAAAATAATTTAAGTCTAGTTAAACCAAACTAGAATAAAAATTTCTTTTATCAGTTTTGTTTTTTCAATTTTTTTTCTTAATTTAATTGAGTTTTAGATTTTTTACTTATCCCTATCTTATTCAATCTCTCCATATAAGACATCACATAATTGGTTTTTTATTAAAAAAAAAGATATTAGAGAAATGCTTTTATACATAACTGATGTGTATATATACACACACATCACTTAAAACATAATAATTTAAAAAAAAAAGACATTAATGGTATACACTAGATAGAGATGAAATATCAAAATCAAATTTAAATTCCTAATCTTGCGTTCAGTTTTCTTACTTTAAGAAATTAATTATAATCAAAAAGCTTATTCATGTAATACATGACATTTCATTTTATTTATGTTGTAGTTGTGATTAATTAAGAAACTAAAAAAGCATTGACCAAAGGAAAATGAATGTATCTTAAGATAATAGGCTTATATTCATTTAGGTAGTTGGAAAACATATATATTAAATGACTTATAGGCTTACGATGATGCACTAAAAAACTTAATGTATTTAAAAATAAAACTTATTTCTTGAATAAAAAGTTAATTATTTAGTTCTAACAATTTAACTCAATCTTTCTAACTAAGATAGCTGATAGCTTGATGTGAAAGGTCAAGATGACTGGTATTTGATATCTGGTAAGATGTCTAGTAGTTGGTAAGTTAATATGGATGGTAGATGGTACGTGGTATTTCAAAGAGGTTAGTAGTGAGTATTTGGTAAGCTAAAGTGATTGGTAGCTTGATATGGAAAACCAAGTACTTGTAAAAGATCTTCTGTAATGAATAAAAAATTTTTAAATAATTAAATAAGTATATTTGTAGTGAGAGAAAGTACAATAGTATTTTAGACGTAGATGCTCTTAAAATATATAAGCACATATATGAAGAATTAAGAGAGTGTGAATCTTTTACTTGGGTGACACATGAGGTATTTATAACCCATAAATTTTTTTGTTCAGGTTAAAAGAATGAAGAGTAATTTTGTCATGATATCATTAATGAGGAATAAATATTCATTATACATGCATTAATGATGTAAAAATATGTCTTACACAAATATTAATGAGATGAAGAGGTGGTAGGCCATGAGAAATTTTTATAAACCTAAAAGTGTAGTAATAATAAAATATAAAATGTGTTGGTTTAGTAAATAATTCATGATAAGACCTATGAGGTGCCTCGAAAAAATTAGGCTCAAAGTGTTGGGCTAAGGCATATTTGTTTTGAGCTCGTTATGAACCAAAAATAAACCTAAATGCGTTGCTTAGACTCACGAGAGCTAGGAGCGTTGGCATCTATAAGCAGCAAGCACCGTGTCCAAGCACACTAGAGAACTGAGCGTTGCACCATAGGCATTGAGCTTTGCACCTAAGCTAAGCTCATTCTAGTTGGCTTTGCTTTTAAGCTTAGCCCATGGATAATTAGATCTTAACAAGTTGCTTGGAACAGTAATTTTTTAAATTTTTAATAGTTTTTTTAAACATGTTAAATTTAAGCTCAAGCATTACAAAAAGTCTTTTTAAAATTGATTCATTAGCTTCATTAGTCTCAAATGAAGTGAAGATTCAACATAATTACTTGGTATAATTACCACAAAGATAATCATTATGTGGATTAAATAATTAACTATAACGGTATACAAATTCCACTATTATTTATTACATTGATTAAAAACACAAAATTATTGATTTATTTTTGCTAAATCTATAGTTATAAAACTAAATTAACCTATTGATCTACAAACATATCATCAAATCTAGACAAGGTTGGGTTTTGTTCAAAATCATCTATATAATTGCCTCAGCCAAACATGCGTAACATGGCATATCAATCTATAGCTAAGGTGAGGCAATTCATTTATTTTTTTTAAATAATATCATTTAAGTAATATCATTTAAGTTTATTTAAAAAAATTTATTCAAGACAATATTGTTTGAATGAAAAAATAATTGGCCCAAATCAACCTCTTATCCCGTAGATTGCCCCCACCCAACATATAACCCAACCTTGAGCTAGGTCATAGACAAGCCGAGCCAGTTTCAGAACCATGGTTGAATCAAATGTTCCCAAGTTTTATATTCAAGCCAATTGTCATAACATACGTTTCTAATTGGATGTGTGCATGCACGCGTGGCAGTTAATTACAAAGTAATAGACATTCCAATTTCTCAATCCTGTGATTGCTTGGTGGTGGGAGATTAACAACAAACAATTTTCGAGGCCTTCTCCTTTGTCTTTTGCAACTCAAGAGAGTTTACACATTTAGTGAATATAATGAAATAGATTTCTTTAACAAATAAAATTTTTAAATTAAGTGCTTATTTAATATATATTTACTTACAGTTCATTTAACCATTATGAGATTCTCTACTCACATATGCAACTCGATGCACAAAATAGATACAAAAAATATATAATGAAAGACTTGTGACCTTTCAGCTAAGATACGAGATGGCTAATGAATAAGGACAGAATTCCTTCGGTAAGGGAGGATCTGTTTTAGTAGGGCAGACCTTTTTCGGAAAAAGTTACACAGCACAGAAAAGACTCAGACTGGAGAGATGAAGAAGAGGGGGAATATAAGGAATGAAACTGTGCATAGAATCAACGGTAAATATCATCTCTTTCTTTGGAACTTGCCCGAAGAAGACGAGAATAAGTTGTGATGATCCAAATTTTGATGGAAAAACAAAGCTACTCTGCCCCCAGTAAGGGTTTGTATGAACTCCACACCACAGAAGGATGGGAATTCTTGTTCTTTCATCACCTCCAGCTATTAGAAATTTTAGATGCTAAAATGAGGATATATGTAAGAAAAAAAAAAAAGGAGAGAAAACTATGCTAAAATGAGGTGCCGCTCCACCCACAAACCACACGAGAATATGAGCGTCGTGCTAGAGCAGATATGACACTAGTTCAGTGTTGTTAAAAAAGATATGAATCACAACAAAGTACATATTTAAGGAAGTTACTTCCATCATTACATGCTTCTTTTCCTACCCTTTCAAGCCCCAAAAGAAGCTTTCAAAATGAAACAAGAATACTTTATTTCTTTCGCAACTCATCAGTGCTGTAATTTGGGGGATATGAAACTGGTTGAACCACTTAAGTTTGAGAAGCTTAGGCTTAAAGAGCACCAAATTTCCTCTTACAAGAACTACAACTCCCTCTTCTTGGCAGTCCAATGTCAACCTTGAAACCTTTAGATACCAGTTTCACCGATGCATTGTCAAGTTTTCACCGAAGCATTGTCAAGTTCATAATGAGAGCCAGAGTTCTGGAGGTGTTGATGGGTCTGTGCAGCCCCCAAGGCTTGGTTAAACACAGCAGTGGCCATTCTGAAATTCAAGATAACCCAAGAAATGAAGCCCACTGATAATTCTTATAGATTTACAGAAATGAATTCCTTCCATTTAATAAGAAACGTCTTCAAAACACAGTGAGCTGAAAGATACATGATCTACATTAGTAAAATAGAAAAAAATGGGAGCGGCGCAGCTGACCCATGTATTAGAATAGAGGGACAGAAGCGAAGAAGAAAACAAGGTAGGGGAGATTTTAGTTACTTGCGATAAGAGGTAGGGGAGAGTTTAATTACTTGCGAGAAAACGTTGACGAAGAAGATGAACAACTTTAGTACTAAAACAAATCATTCTTCCCTACAGCTGTAAAGCTTGAAAAAAATGAATCAAAATTCTAATAGATTAAAAAAACCCAATTGAGCAAATAATTGATCAGATCAAGTGAAAAAATCAGTACAATAAAACCCTAATTGAGCAAACAACGAAGGGATTCTGAGGGTTAATAAAGAAAAGTAAATTAATCACCATTAGAGGGTATGAGAAAAAGAGAGACAAACGACATTTTTGAAAACGATTTTAACGGTTGTTTTGAGAGAATGAAAAGACAAAATAATCAAAGTTAAATCCCAGACGACTTCTTCCTCTTTACCTTCTCCACCCCCATTTGGTGTACTAGGTACCACAATACTTTGCCTTCTTTTTCACGTGAACATTGCCCAATTTTCTCTCTCGCGCCACCAATCATCAACAACTGAGGACCGCTACAATACTCGCTATATGTCACGAGTACTGTTCATTTTGTTAGAATAGCTAGCCAAGTAGAGAGCAACAATGCTATGCTTTTTCTCCACTCCCGCAAGCTAATATAGCTAAGTATTTGGTTTGGCTAGGAAGGGTGCGGAATCTCTTACAGAAGACAGGTGGCTTGTAGCTCCACCTAAGAGCTGCTATTTATAGGATTAAGAAAGGAATGGTGAACGCTGGTGGAGATTAAAAAAAAAAAAGTTCACTATATTTTGTTTTGTTTTACTTTATGATTATCACGGAAAATCCTAGGAAAAGAAACATAACCTTTAGCAAAATGCTCTCTCCTCTGTAAAGAAGATAATCTTGCAATGTATGTGGTCTTCCATCACCTTAAACCACTATCAAAAGAGCGACTCCCCATTGCTTCCCTCTTCCACTAAAAACGGGTATCATCAAAACTTGCCAATAGATGCACTTTTAAGTTTAAACAGCTTAATGGACAATTTTGGACGAGATGGACCACATCCACAATTTCATCTCTGCATTGAAGAGCTTGACCTACGATAACACTTGAACACATTCAGTCAGGTACAATAATTCGATATTCAGGGTAGGAGGAAAACAAATCCCATTAAACATATTTGTTTTTGTAGTCACTCTATTTTTCATTTATTTCAATTACTTCAGGAAAATTCTCACCTTTTTTTTTCTTGGAATGAGCCAATCCTCTGTTCTTGATTCATTATTGGGATTCCAAAATCAAAATATGGAAATTAATCACTGATCTAAGACCAGAATATTCAGAGAACTCTTCTGACCAAACAAGTAATTGTCAATAAAATTTTTGTTTTCTTCAAATTCAAAGACTTTACTTTATGCGTAGGTTATCAATTCAGTGTTGGATAGGAATAGGAAGGGGTGAAATGCCTATTTACACATGTATTTGACTCTGACATATAGAGTTCTATTACAATCATATCCACGTCAAATGATCAACCTTAAGTGCTAAGTGCTCAAGTAAATAATTTAAAGGTTCTGACCTTTTTTCATGAGTATCTTTATAGGACCTCCCCACTGGCCAATCCACATTCTCTTCCTGTTTTGTTAATATCAGCTACCATTTAAGCAGAAAAAACCTTTTCTGTTGTCTAAAGCATTTGATATTTTTCTTTCAAATTCCTTCGTCTTCTTTGTACTTTGTTCCTGCATAACATTTTCTCCTAGTTATTAAATGACTTAAATAAATAAAATTAAGTCTTCAAACAACAAGCCTGTTTAGAGTACATAAATTCTTTATGGAACCTTTTAATCCCCCCTCATGCTTTAAATCAGATCATGTATTGTTTTTCAACTAAATCTTAATCTCAGATATCAAAAAATATCACATAAATACTCATATTCCTCTATTAGTTTAAAGAAATATTTTCATCATATGGTAATAAAAAATCAATAGTTTGTTTGATTTCAAACCAACAAATGTTTTTTGTCAGTACCATGATATTACAACAGTCACACAACCAAATGTTTACATTATGTATACCCAAGCAATCTTATTCGTATTATGCTATTTAGCTGCCCATTTGATATCACCTTCACTTTGTGAATGTGTGTATTGATAGATTAGAATGTCTTAAATCTTCTTTTCTTTTCTTTTCTTTTTATATTGTTCAAGCAGCTTATTATCCATCTTGATTCTTGACATGCATGTTATGTTCATATGATCAGTCTTATAGATCTTTCTTTCAATTTTGTTATTATCTTATAAGCTATGATGCAAATGACTTCAATATCACATGTCAAAAGTCTTTCTCTAATGCTGTCTTAACATCTATCTTATATCTCTTACCTAAGCAGCAACTTAAAGATGTTTTTGATATGACCATAAGACCTCACTGTTGTAATCCTTTCCTCTACTTATACTTTTAGCTGCCCGTTCATGAACACATGCTCCATACCTCAACATATATAGCGACTGAAATACAACTTCTATGTTTTCTTAAAGCAACAAAAGCAAAATACATACACAAAGAAAGTTATACCATAGATTTTCTGAAAAAAAAATTCCTATCAGTTACTGCACATTACGGAGATTAATTCCTCTAACCTTAAATAATAAAAGATACAGTCATCAAACTACAGCAATTACCCTACAAATATGCATAAACAACCTCATATACTATGCATGCATATAAGCATTTGAAAGGAATAAGTCAGGTAAGATGTAAATGAATGAATGAAGGTTAATGTGAAAAAATTAAATCAAGGATAAAAAGTCATCATGTCCAACATATGAAGAGTTTAAATACACAAAATGTAACACTTAAGACAGCTTTACTGCCCCAAAAACTTGACAGTACCTTATGAGTTCCAACTTAACATCATATGCATCATGAGGGAGCATCATAATCCTCGCTCTGTTCCTTTTCAGTCCTGCATGACATAATAGGGACATCTGATCTGGGCTCTTGAGGCTTTAATATTTTGTAGCCTGCCATAGTTTCAGATCCGCCAGCTGATAACAGATAATATGAATTTCATTCTGTTTTTCTCAATTGATCTTATGCTCATTGGATCATCATTGAAAATACTTGGTGCTTAAGGGCAGAAGTGACTGAGAGAGATGGTCATTACCCTAAGCCTTCAAGAATAGGCCGATGTGTAGAGAACTTATGGAACTTATGGACCAAACCGTTTGAATGAAATGCAAGCCACCAAAGATTGTGTGACACTATCATGAATTAGTCTAGTTGTTCCAAAAAAAAATATCACGAACTGCTTTAGAATGCAGGAATCTTACAATATCCTAGTTTGACATGCAAGGGACAGGCTTTGCCATTGAACATAGGAAAGCCTTAGGGTGGGCCATGCATGGCCACAAACTGAAGGAGGAGAAAGTGCTCAAACTGGCATCTCTGTTGGTTAAGGGCAATGTTTGGCTCTGATAATGCAGGTTTAAAGGTAGAGTTTCATGGATGATGATGCAAACTCCTGATTGGTTAATTTACAAAATTACATGACCAATATAAACCTATGCGACACTTGAGATAAGCAGAGAAGAGAGGGGAAAAAACTCATTTCAGTAATTCTCCAACTGTTAATTTGGCATCCACACCTGGCACATTTAATCAGCATGACCAACAAATATTTGGCCTTGGAAATTCAGAGTGTCTGTACTCTCTTTCTTTATCTGGAGGCAAAGGCTACACAATGTCTCAAAAGGAACCTCCGAGAAAATAATTTCAAGTTTACATGTTGGAGGCTTAATCCTCTGCATGCATGCACTAATGTCAAGAGTTGACTTTTACTTTATGCACACTGCATGATCCTCAGTATTTCTACGTTTCTTGCAACCTTCAAGAAAGCTACGCCATATTTGGGCATCTGGTGGGAAAGGCATGCAGGAAATCATTTTCTCTGCTTCCTCAAGATGTCCATTCCGAGCCAATAAGTCCACTAAACAATGATAATGATCCATATCTGGTTCAATATGGTAATTATTCATTTTACCAAACAACTGCATCCCTTCTCTGACTAAAGCACCATGTCTGCATGCCGTAAGCACCGCAATAAAAGCAACCTTATCAGGTCTAAAACCTAGAAATTCCATATCATTAAACCTTTCTAATGCTTCCTGAGCACAGCCATTAATTCCAAGGGCTGAAATTAGAGCTGTCCATGTAATTAGGTTTCTCTCTGTCATAGTGTCAAAAATCTTTACTGAACTTTCAAGGCTGCCACACTTTCCATACATGTCTATTAACACATTGCGGACAACAATATCAAAATAACTGAAATTAGTCTTTATGAGGAGACCATGAATAGAACTTCCCAGAGCAAGGTTACAGACCTTACTACACACACATAGAAGACTTGTATATGTGTAATTATCTGGAAGCATTTGAGCAACACGCATGTGTCTAAAAAGTTCAAGAACCTCATTGTAATTTCCATTGCGTGCACAAGCTGCAATAACAATGTTCCAAGACACAGCGTCTGGTTCTTCAAGCTGAGAAAGAAACTTTAATGTCTCAAAGTATTGGCCAGATCTGTTATAAATTCCAGCAATACTGTTAGCGGGAACAACAGCAAGCATTGTTTCAGAAGCTTTAACAAAGATTAGAGCATCAGTTATGAGACCATTCCTGCCATAGGAGGTAATAAGGGAGGTCAATACATATTCATTATTCTCAAAGCCCAATCTTATAGTCAAGCTATGAATCTGCTTTAGCTCTAAAACCAAGGATGATTTAAGAGCAGCAGAAAATGAAAATTCATTAGGTCGGAAGCCTAACTGAAGCATTTCTAGCAACAAAGAAATAGAAGCAAAAGAGCATTTATTTGCATAACCCAGGATCAAAGAATTCCAAGAGACCACATTCTTCTGATGTATCTCGCGAAAGCAATAATGGGCATTATCCAGTTTACCACATTTGGCATAATAATCAACCAAGGCACTACCCAAATAAACATCTGTTTCAAGAGCAGTTTTCACTATTTTACCATGGACATATTCTCCACACATTGGGACCAGCAAACTGGTGCAAGAGTTAATGACACTTACAAATGTGGTCTGGTTAGGCATTATTCCATCCTCAGACATTTTCAGAAAGACTTCTAATGCTTTTTCAGGGTTCTTACTTTTTGAGATGGCACTAATTATTGTGTTCCACGTGACTACATCCCTACCATCTACTTCCTCAAAAAGTTTCTCCACTTCGGAAATGCTTGAACATCTCGCATACATATTGATAAGAGAATTCGAAACTAAAACTTGGCAATCAAACCCGCTTTTAATGACCAAACTATGTATTTGTCCTCCGAATTCCAAATCTTCTTCACACACCAACCCCGATAAAACACCCTCAAAAGAACATTTAGACAAAGAACCCTCTTTCCTAACGAGCTTGCGAAACAAAACTACACAATCTTCCACAAAACCATGATGCCCCAACAATGATATCATCGAATTCCATGTCACCAAGCTTTTGTTAGGCATATCTTCAAAAACATGGAATGCTTCATCTAACCACCCACATCTTCCAAATAAACCCAACAAAGCAGTGCCCACGAAAACATCACTGCAGAATAACCCATTCTTTATTGCCAGTGCCTGCAACATAATCCCACGACCGACATCCATGGACGCACACGATAACAAACCAGACAAGGTAAAGTTATTCGGCCTGAACCCACAACCTATCATCTCACAAAACGTTCTCCAAGCTTCCTCTAAATAACCATATTTATTAAAACAGCTAATAATTGAATTGTAAGACACTTTGTTTCTTTGAGGCATATTGTCGAACACTTTGTGCGCCATTGGTACCTGGTTGAATGATGCATAGAAAGAAATAATATTGTTGTAAACAAAGGTGGATTGCTCTGGGTTTGCGCTGATAGTAATGGTGAGTGCATGGAGTGGTTTTGTTGTGTTAAGGGCACGAAGTTTTGAACAAGATTGGAGAAGTTGGAGGAGACGATATTGGTATTTGAGGAAATCTCCATGGAAGCTCATAAAGGTGGGAAAGATTTGGAAAGCGTACGTGGCTTTGAAGTTTTAAGTGGTTTCGGTTTTAGCCCAAGATTTTATTGGATTTCGTTTGGGCTTGAGATTTGGCAGGTGAATGCTTTGTTAATATATATATATATATATAATTTAAACCTCGTGTATTTTACAAATTTATTTATTAATCCTTTTGATTTTGAAAATTATAAATTAGTCTCAACTCGTTATTTTGTTTTTAAATGTTCAATGTTGTTCTTTTTAAATGCTTTTTTTTGTAATTTTCAGTAGATAAGAATAGAAAATTTGATTAACTCGCAAATCATTTTCCAAAACTAAAGGGGTGTTTGATACTATATAACTAATTGCTTTTCAATAAGTTAAAAAGGAGAGATTCCAATAATATTGATTAAAAATATTATATTTTAATTTTGATTTGGATTTGTATATTATGGAAAGAGAAAAATAGTATTTGAAGGAGAGAAAAATTTTTATTTATCTTTTATTTAAGTTAGTGATATATTATATATGAAGATAATTTAGTTTTTTTATTTAATTTGAAAATTTTTATTAACTTAGAATACAAAGTGTAATTTTTTTAAATGTAATAGCTAAATGTATGTAATTTCAACTGAATTATAGGATACTAGTGATATTTTTCACAATTAACTTTATGATTTATAAATTAAACGATTACACAAATAGTATAATAAAAAGATTGTTTTATAAAATTAAAAAATAGCATCTTCCTGAATATATAAAGTTGAATAAAAAAATAACTATCTAGGTGGTGGCCAAGTGGTAAAGACTTGAGACTAAGGGGTTTGCTCCCTCTGTGGTTTCAGGTTCGAGTCCTTGGTTGCTCATATGATGGCCACTGGAGGCTTACATGGTCGTTAACTTCAGGGCCTGTGGGATTAGTCGTGATGCGGACAAGTTGGCCCGGACACCCACGTTAATCAAAAAAAAAAGTTGAATAAAAAAATATTTAATGTTGTGGCCTAGTAAAAAAAGAGATTTATTTTATTTTTTTATATTTGGATTCGGTTTTGTTTTGTATGTTTGTTATTTTTATAATGTTTTATTTATTTATTAGATTTATAAAGTGTTCAGTGAATTTAAGAATTAATTATAATAGAGTAATTTGTAATTTGGTTTAATATTTAAATTATAATAAAAAAAATCGAATAAAAGAGGATAAATCAAATTAGAATTCCTCTCACGTATCATAGAAATTTGGGTCCATGGGGGCGTCAAGGCACTAATCATTTTCAAAATTTTGAGTGCTGGCTAGCATGATCCGAGGAATATCGACAGCCTTCTAAGGTCATTAAGCATTCTCAACATCACATGCGACCCCCTAATGATCATACGAGGACCCAAAAAAAGGCTGCTAGCTGATCTTGCACATTCGAATCTTGAGAACTATTTTATATTCATGGAGCGCCAATCTTTTATTCTTCTGCTGTCCATCAAAGTTCATATTCTTATAGTTCTAATTAAAAGCTCGAATATTGCATGCTAACAAAAGTGTCTTTGTCGTCGGATTTATATTATTTTTCAAGCACCTTTTTCACCCATATAGCAACGAGTGCTACCACATGCTAAATTGTTAACTACAAACCGGTAAATGGTTCAATTTGCGTTGTCAGGCTAGTTTTGGTTGGCCAAAACTGCTGGGAGAACTCAAAATGTATTATAATCAAGGGGGAAAACGGAGAGAATTCATTACAAATTTATTGATCCGTGTCCATGATTATAATTCAACATTAAACCATTGAACTGGATGCCTATATATAGATTTTTTTTATTACATTTCATGCATTTGGCATTAACGTACATTAATTCACGCCAAATTTATTAAATCAAGAAGCTAGCCTCGCTTTAGTTCTGCATTTGGTCGCTTGAACTGACGGAACATGGAAGAGCTTGCATGGCACAATGTAGAGATTTTAATGATGTTTCGGGTCTGGCCCTCCAGGACTGAGTCGTTTCGATTCGTAAGGGCTTCCAGTCACATCTGAATCGTCTTCGAAGAGTTGTTTTGATTTCTCATTCAGTTCTTGCAACATTCTTGCCAGGTTCTTCCTCCCGAGGTAAGGCTGATCAAGATGTCTGGTTTCTGATTTGGAAAACGTAAGGAACAGCAAAACAAGGCACACCCAGAGCTTCAAATTGGCCATGATATCAATATTCCTCCTCTTTGGCTCCCGAGCCTAGTATAAATTCTAGCTAGTCGTTTGATTCGAACGATCAGGAGAGCCCCTTATATATACTCATGACCTTTATTCTCAATCCATATTTAAACAAAGTGGAACACTAAAGGATCAAACTGACTTTGTCTTGTTCTATGATGCCAGTAATTCTCATTCAAGTTTAAGCCAATGCTTGATGAGATATGAGCTTGTCCGATTAAGTACAAAACGAGCGTCTAATTCCCCACAAGGAAAGAAATATTAATTTGATATTGTATGAAATTAAAGGTTTCTCTCTATCAAAACTGCCAAAATGCCTGTTGATATTAAGGTATTGAGAACCCTTGATCATCATGATCAGTTGTTGTCTAGTCACTGATGCTTTTGGCCTTGCAATGGATATAGAATTTGGAAGGGGCACCCATGTGTGTACAATTTGTCTCGAGCACTTTCCCCCTTGATGTCAAAGCTTGTAATTTGTTCTATCTTTTATATATCACTATTAATTAGGTCCTACATATGGCATTTTCTTCTTTTGAGTTTTTTTTTAAGGTTTAATTAAGAGGAGAACTTTGGTGATGAAGACAGCCACTTGGTAAATTGAATGTAGTCGTAGTAACTTTGCGTGCGCATGCGCATAAAAACATACACAAATTAAGATTTTATATATATATATATATATATATATATATATATATAATTTTTTAACGGTCATTCTTATATTATCATTGTATTTTTCACACCATTACTTATATAAAATGTTTGTCATGTATAATAATTTTTATTTATAAAGTATTTTATACAAAACAAACACCTTTTAAGAACAAAATACTATAGAATCACTCAAGATTTATGCACCTATTTACATAAAATTTCCCATAACGATGGAGTTCAAATTTAATTTTTGTTCATACATTCTATTTCAAACTCTTGTATATTATCATTAAGAAACTATTATATAGGGAATAAGTTTAGTTTGTCCTTGTATTTTACATCTATTCTCCAATTTATTTTCATAAGTTTAATTGCTTTCACATTGTCTCTAAATATAGGGTAATACTCCACTTTATCCTTTTATTAAGTATTCTTATTTAAATAGATAAAAATACCCTCACTTGAAAAACTTAAACTTACCCTAGTTTTAAAAATATGAAGAAAAAAAATATTTTAAAACCACATAAAAATCTTTTTTTTTTATTTTTTTTATTTTTAATTAAACAGATGGATTTTGAGTTTCTCAAGTGAGAGATTTTGAATCAATTGATCATTCAATATTTGTAGAATCCACATTTGACCATTTATCATTTGATATTTGTATGAAATTTTAATATGATTTGTTAATCCATTATTCGTTTCAATGTTTGGAGAATGTTCTAGTAAGGTTTTTAGATAAAAAATTTTCTAAAAAAGAACCATTAAGGCAATATATATATATATATATATATATATATATATATGT